TGCTGTGACTCTTCGAAATGCCCAGAGCTAGGAAATCCCTCCTGGGGACATATGAGACTCTCCATCCCTACCCCAGCCCTGCCTCTTGGCTTAAACCTAACCGAAGCAAGCAGTGTCCTCTTACTGATACCACACTTCATGGGTTGGCGTCCATTCTGGGCTTGGATGGGCTCCATGCTGCGGAAGAGGACGCTGAAGCTCAGGAAGCCTCCACGACTTGTCAGGGCCACACAGGTAGTGATTACCACACAAGTGGCCTTGAAACAGACCTAAGGTCACTGCTCTTTCACACACTGCCCTTCACAGGAAAGAAGAATCGATGCTGCTCCCAGCCCATCATGCCCATCTCTAATGAAAATCAAGGTGTACAACCCGAGGAGACCGGTGGGGAGGCCAGAGCACACCATCTGCCCTCCCTCCCACCACAGAGTCTGGGGTGCTCCTTCCCTTGACTCCCCGAGGGTTCTTGGGTGGCCACTGGCGGCAGCCCATGTAATCACACCGTCGCACACATCACCTGCCATATCCAAGGCCCTCAACACCTAAGGGGCTAGACTGGGGAAGACCACAGGGCCGGTGAGGAGGTGCAAGCAGGTGTCACCCACCTGATGCCTCCCCCACGGCCGCCCTCACAGCAATCTGAACCGCTAGAAAACAGGAGAGGTACAGGAACCAAAACAGACAGGGAATCATCACGTTTTCACCAGGGGAGCTGACCTTGCACTATTGCCCTTGGGGACGGCGATAAAGCATGGGGCTTCCCAGCTCAGGCTCCGGTGACAGACTCACCGGGACCCAGTGCTGGGTCTGGGTGACAAAGCAGGGGTCTACGGGCCATTCCTCAGCGAAGCGGGGATGAAATCGCCCGCCTCTGTACGAAACAGAGCAGGGCCCAGCAAATAGTAAACTGGAAAAGAGCTCAGCTACCATTACTATAAAAACCATCGCTGTTATTATCAACTGGCTTAAACTTGGTCAATTACTTTTGCTTTCATTTTCTCCTCCCCCCCACCCCCCGCCACCCCATGAATTCTAAAAACTCTTCAACTCTTTCTGCGAACAGATGTAGTGTACCTAATATGACGCCTGTTTGCGGGGGCACTGAATAATCAACAGCCAGTCATTGTGACTCATCCCGTAACCACCGCCTTTGCTGGGCAATAGGCCCTGAGACGCAAAGATGGCCGGGGCACAGGTCTGTTCCTCGAGGGGCTCTCGGTCCAGAGGGGACACAGAGGTGCACCCCCAGGTGCCGGGGAACGTGAGGTCAGTGCCCAAGACAGCTCTGTGGGGCCTCGTGGGAAGGAGGCTGAGAGTCCAGGTGAACACTGTCCCTGCGTTAGGGGTATCAGGGCACTGCCACTGCTGCTTGGAACTCCTCCTCAGGAGCCACGATGCAGCAACAAATTCTTGATGTGGCTCTTGAAAATGACCAAAGTCGCTGGGCTAAGGCTGGTGAATACAGGACTAAAACCTCGTTGGTCACCTGCCTGGGACGAGTATAAAGCAGGAACAGAGGTAACGGGGGAAGGACGGGTCACAAAGAGCCTCTGCCAGCAATTCTGAGAGGAGCCAGAGGGTTACCGCGTCTCTGGGCTGGCAAGATCCCAGGGGCAACTACTGCCACCATGGCTTGAGGCAGGGATGTCCCAAGGGTGTCCCCAGCAAAGACATTCTGAGCAAATGAAAGCAGATAACAGTAACGACAAACCAACCAGAGCTGGTTACTGAAGCCCTCACCTCTTGCCAGCACCATGCTGGTATTTTCACACATCTGTCTCAATCTTCACACCTTCCTCGGGCAGATGTAATGATCCCCATTTTAAAGATGAGCAAACAGACTCACGGGTGATTATAACTCATCCAGCTGGGGCCACAATTATTGACTAGGAGAACTAGGATTTGAGCTTAGGACTGTCTCACTATAAAGCCCACACTCTTGGCCACTAAGCTCTATTGCCTCCTTTGTTTGCCCAGCTCCCCTAGCCCTCACCCCAGAGTAACCACTGCAGAGAAAGCCCTTATTTGGACACAAATGTTCCAGCATTTTTTTTTTTTTAATCAGAAAAAATAGCATTCCCTTTGCAAAGGTGTATGAGCAAAGTAGTGTGTGAGCCCCGTGGGGGCAGCGGTGAGTAAGATGTGGTCTCTGGTTTCCAGGAGCTTCCAGGCCAGCAGGCAGACAGGTGTACACATGCAACTCTGAGACAAGGCCCAGGTGACACCTGTTAAAAGGGAAGCATTCAGGGCTTTGGGAGTTCAGAGAGCTTGCTGGTGGGTAGGCGGGGTGGAGGGTGGAGCAGGGATGACTTCACAGAGAAGGTCGCGTTTAAGTCAGTCTTGGGGCACAGTGGAGTTATACAGGCAGAGCCGGGTGGGGAGGAGGTGGTATGAGGCCAGGTATGGAGGCCGGTGAGCCCGAGGCCTGCTGCAGGTATTAACCTGTAAGCCACGTGGGGGCAGAAGGGCAGCGTGAACAGAAGGGCCAGACAAGGCCAGAGAGGCACAGCAAGCCCCAAATGAAAGGCCTTAAATGTCTGGCTAAGGAGATTGCAGAAAAAATGTTGAAGGTTTTGACAGGAGCAGGGAGAACTCAATCAAACGAGGGAGAACTTAGAGCCCAGGAGACCAGCTAAGGAGCTTCTGGAAGATTCCAAGCAAGAAGTAAGAAAGGCTGAAAGAGGGCAGGCTGCCGGAAAAGCAGATGGAATAGCAGTGGTTTTCCACCTTGTTTCTGGCCCAGCCCACCTGAGACAGGGCATCGATGAAGCTGGTACAATGCCAGAGGGGGAGCAGAGGTACCAGGCCATGGGAGCTGGGGCGGAACCTTCCAGATTGTGGTGAGGGAACATGTACTGCACAAAATGATCACCTGCTTGATTCCAGCATGACTTCTGCAGTCCTGTCTCTCTACACACCCAATCACATCCATTCTCTGGGCGCCACTGGGGGCCAAGATGGCTCCAGGAGCTGGGGACGCAACTACCAGACAGACATGGCCCCAAAATCAGGGCGTTGACCTTCCAGTGAGAACCCCAGAAGAAGCCACAGAGAAGGCAGGATCAACAGGGCTAGGTGACTGACTGGGCACGGCAGTCAGGGGAGATTTGAGTGCGGGATGATGCCACGCTGTCAGACCTGTCTAACTGGAAGAAGGGGGAAATGTAATGGGGAAAGGTGGCCTAGGGAGGAGGAGATTTGAGCAGGAATGTGCAGAGTTCAGTCTGTGTCACACTAAAACCAGCATAATTTCTTTGTCTGTCCCCTTCTCTGTGGGAACTCAACAGAATCTGTGGGAGGAGAATGAAGGGCCAGAGAACTGGAGTGCTTGGGCTTGGCCTGAGGGTTGCAAGGAGCTTGGGGCCTTGTACCGGACCCCAGAGGAATGTGGCTGGAGGGGCTCTGGCTCCAGAGTCAGGTGGCCTGTGTGCTTCTCTGAATGCTGATGCTAGCCATCCAATCTTAGGCAACTCACTTCGCTTCTCTGAGCTCTCGGCATCTGCAAAATGCAGATGAAAATGCCCTCCCTGTGCATCCCACAGGGTGGCTGTGAAGAATCTGCTAGAAATTTAGAATCTGTAACCAAACCAACGAGCTGCAGTCTAGTAAACTCCAACTCACGGCAACCCCACGTGTATCATAGTAGCACTGTGCTCCACAGGGTTTTCAATGGCCTGTGATCTTTCAGGAGCCCCGGTAGCACAGTGGTTAAGAGCTCAGGCTGCTAACCAAAAGGTCAGCAGTTCCAATCCACCAGGCACTCCTTGGAAACCCTATGGGGCGGTTCTACTCTGTCCTATAGGGTCACTCTGAACTGGAATCAAACTGATGGCAACAGGTTTGGTTTTTGTGGTGATCTTTCAGAAGTAGATCGCCCAGCCTTTCTTCTGAGGAGCCTCTGGGTGAACCCAAACCCCCAACCTTTTGGTTAGCAGCCAAGTGTGTTAACCTCTTGCACACCCAGAGACTCCAGAATTTGTAAAGAGCTATATAAATAAAAACGGTGTAGCCCAAAGCCCTCTTCAGGAAAGCTGTGACCCCAAATAGAGATGTGACTTGCCCAGGGTCATACAATGGTTGCTAGGAGACCATCCCTCTCTGGTGCCTACACCCCTCTATCACGCGCCCTCTATGATACTCCCTCTGCGTACTTGTTGGCAGAGCTTTCTGTGGAATGCTGAGCCTTTCTTGGGGCCATCCCTGAAGACAAGCTCCTCAGGGACGTCATGGATTGAAATGTGTCACCCAAAAATAACGTGTTGTAAATCCTAGACCCTATGTATGTGGATCTAATTCCATCTGAGAATAGGGTTCTCTTTGTTATGTTAATAAGGCCGTATCAGTATAAAAAAAATCAAACCCATTGCCGTCAAGTCGATTCCGATTCATAGCGACCCTATAGGACAGAGTAGAACTGCCCCATAGGGTTTCCAAGGAGCTGCTGGTGGATTCGAACTGCTGACCTTTTGGTTAGCAGCTGTAGCTCTTAACCACTGTGCCACCGGGGTTTCCAGTATAGGGTGTGTCTTCAGACAATCACTTTTGAGATATAAAAGGAGCAGATTGGACACAGAAGCATAGACAAATGGGAAGATAGATGCCACATGAAATTTGCCAAGGAACCGAGGACCGGAAGCTGAAAGAGACAAAGATCTTCCCCCAGAGCCGGCAGAGAGCCTTCCCCTAGAGCTGGTGCCCTGAATTCAGTCTTCCAACCTCCTAAACTGTGAGAAAATACATTTCTGTTCATGAAAGCCACCCACTTGTGTTACAAGTTCTGTTACAGCAGCACTAAGAAACGAAGACAGGCCTCAATCACACCTTCGACACAGCAGGCCTCTTGCCCACACAGCACAGGCAAAGGTCAGCCGCTGCCAAACACGTTCCAGCCGAGGCTGGAGGCAGAGCAGGAGACCCACAACCACCACACCCCTTCTGAGCCCCACACAGGCCGGGCTGGCGTCTGGGAAATGAGAGATGTCCAACTCTGAGCGTGGGCTCTGAAGAGGTTTATTAGTATCCACACTGGGGATCCCAGGGCTCTTGCCCCAGATGAGGGGAAGCAAGGTCACACAGGCCACTGCAGGCCCCAAGAGGCCTGGCTCCACAGAGATGGCGATGTTTCTGCTTCAAGCACAGCCAGTGGAGCCTCCTATGCCCGCTAGGTCTCCTGCTGAATAGGCAGGACTGTTCTCTCCACAGAGAAACGAGGGTCCCAGGCTTGCCCGGTACCTGCCAGGTCCCAGAAATCTAGACTCAGGCCCTCTCAGCCAGCATCAGCAAGCCTGTGTCCTGCAGTCAGCCCCATCCTGGCCACCCCTGGCTCCCCACCAGAACCTGACAACTAGAGTCGGGAGTGGACAAATTCTATCAGGCTCCCCAGCTGCTCCTCCAGGCACTGCTCATCTCCGTGGTTCTCAATGACCCAGTCAAAGTCCCCAAAGTTGTCCAGGCCACATTCCGACTCAGCATCGTCCACTCCTGTGGAGAAGGCATGGAGAGGTCAGACCCATCCCTCCAAACAAACGCAAAACAGCAAGGCCCTCCCTGTGCCTCTCCTCCACCAGCCCAGAGCCAAAGTCTACCCCACCCCACAGGGCAATCCCCATTCCCTGAAACACGGTGATGCCAGGTTCAGCAGCCCATAGCTGCCCACTGCCACCTGAGCCCCCAGAAGGGCCCCACTGATGTAACTCTTCACTTGCCACTGCCTACAGAGGGCAGACTTGTGCTGTTACCTGCTGTTGAGTCAGCCTCCAACTCACAGCGAGCCCATGTCCAACAGGATTGGATCGTTGCGATCCACAGGGTTTTCGCTGGCTAATTTTTCAGAAGTAGATCACTAGGCCGTTCTTCCTAGTCTGTCTTAGTCTGGAAGCTCTGCTGAAGCCTATTCAACGTCATAGCAACACGCACCAGAGGGCAGATTAGGCCATCTAAAACCACAGACAACCCAAAAGGGCACCGCGTGTTCATTTTCTGTGAAGTCGGTGGTGTCAATCTCTATTCCTAAATGTGATTCCGTCCTTGCAGAAAGCAGTGCGTGCAATGGTTAGAAGCTGAGGGTTGAAAGTCCCAGGAACGCCTCTCCCTCACTTTGTGGGCCTAGAAAACAGACCGAGCCTTTCAAAGCTCATGTCCTCATCCAACAATCGATACCGGTAAAAACAGCATCTACCCGATGGGTTTGTTGAATGCTAAAGTGAGGTAATGCCCCTGGAGGTGGTGCGTGCCCAGGGGGCAAGCAGCCGTCGGCGGTGGCCGTGCCCACTAGACCTCCTAGGACAGCAAGGAGGCCGGGCTGTGCCTCTAGGCTGCCCACAGAGCAGGTCCTGGCCTTGCACCACTGAGGCTGCCTAGTAGAGCTGCTGCTCTCCCACCCCTGCTACTATGTCAGTCACACAGGAGTGACGTTCGTCAGGCCTGTCCTCTGACCCACTGTCAGCCCCTGACAGGCTGGAAAGCAGAAGTGAAGGACCGAGGGGGTGGGTTGCAGCCAGACTTCCAGAGACCACCAGCCCAGATAAGGAGCTCAGGCCAAGGTCGGGTGACATTTACCACTCAAGGACACCCACCCCCACCCCACTCCCTAATCTGGAAGCCCAGCATTCCTGAGCCCCAGGCCTTAGATTCCATTTCATAATCCCTCACTCACACCCCTACCCAGGCATGCCAGGGAGAGAGCAGGAGACCCAGAGCAGGGGGCTGGGTGGCCTGTACCCTACAGGTGGGGTGGCCAACCTGTGGGCTGAGTCCTGGAGAGCAAAGGTTGTTGGTAGCTCACCCGTCGTAAACACCCAGCCACGCTGCTGTCGGCTCTGCTCCGAGGCCACCACGCGGACCGTCTGTGCCGAGGCCCCGTAGGCCTCCCGAAACCACTGGATGTCGGACACGCGCCGTGTGTCACTCACCAGCTGCAGGGAGGGACACAGACAAGTGACCAACAGGACATGGTGCAGGGAGCAGCAGGACAGGGTATGAGGGTGAGGGAAAAGGAGGGGCAGACCCAGTGGAATCACTAAGGTTGGTGTCACCCAGCGCGGTAACTCATGGACGTCACCCCCCACGGGCCTCCTCCTGTACCAGACCATACAGAATCCTTGTAATGTTTTTTGTACTAATGTCACTCATAAATCCCGTATATCATTCCTTTTTTTCCCTTGAATTACTACTTCATTCTCAAAAAAGTTATTGATACCCCATCGCCATCAAGCCGATTTCGACACATAGCGACGGAACAGGACAGAGCAGAGCTGCCCAGGAGGATTTCCAAGGAGCTGCTGGTGGATTTGAACTGCCAACCTTTTGGTTAGCAGCCAAGCCCTTAACCACTGCACCACCAGGGCTCCAAAGTTACTGACACAGGTTCACAAATACTAATCACCGCCATATTGTAGCAAAAGCACCAGAAAATTTGACAAAATCTGACTATAAAACACCAGTGAAAACAACGGTGCATGCTTGTAGCGTGTACAGATGAAACCACGTGATTTGAAGCGTCATTGTGATTGGGTAGTAATGACAACTCCGACCGGGAGGCATTAGAAGGTTCAAAAGGTAAATTAGCATAGAGTTTTAGCCTTGTAGGATATTGATACATGCAAGCTGGGCTTACGAAAAATGTTTTTGTTGTTGTAACTACAGGGATATTTTTATAGACAGTCATTTTGGTGTCACCCCCTCTGATACTGTCACCCGGTACAGTCCATACCCCCACACCCTCCTAGTGATGTCACTGGGCAGACCCAGGCCCGCAGCAGGAGCACAGAGGACCGCAGCCCAGAGCAGCAATGGGGCCCACCCATCAGCTCTAGCTGCTTGGACAGACCTCCCCGCCTCCCTCCAGGTAGCAGCCCCGATCACTGCAGCCGTATCTTGCTCTGGCCGCCCTGTCTCTGCCATGAACACACCTGTGTCCTGTGCTGGCGTCAAGCCTCATTGTACTCGAAAAGAGGCCTTAGACTCTGGGTTCAGATCCGCCAGTCCAACCCGCTCATTTCAGAAACGGGTAAACGGAGGCCAGAATCCAGGATACCCTAACCGGGCCTCAACTCCCGGCACCTTTAAAACCACAAATCCGATTTTTGTCATTCTCCTGCTCTAAATAAAATCCAAAGCTCTCACCCTGGCTGACAAGGCCCTATGAGATCTGCATCTCATTTCCCACCCTCCGCCCCCATTCTCTCCCCTGCGGCCAACAGGACTCTTTGCTGTTTCCCAAAGGTACCAACCACGCCCCCTCCTCAGGGCCTTTGCACCCAGTACCCCCTCTGCCTGGATCATCACAGGCTAAGCTCCCTCACTTCACGGCTGTCTCTGCTCAGTCAGCATCTCCTCAGAGAGGCCTTCCCTGACCACCTGGCTCCCTTCCTGTCCCTCTGAATCCTGACACGCTGTCTGCTCGCCTCTTGGCACTAAGTACTCTCTGAAATCATCTTTATTTTTTATTGTGTATTGTCTGTCTGCCCCACCAGAGTCAACTCCATAAGGGCAAGCGCTTTGCCTCATTCATTGCTATATCCCTGGCCCCTAGAACAGCACCTGGCACATAACCACTCAGCAGTATGTTCAATCAATCCCTGAATAAAGCTTGCTGTTCTCATCAATGCTGCTGACATGTTCATTTGTCCAACGACTAAAAAAACATTATCACAAGCACCTACTATGTGCTCGGCACTGTGCTAGGTGCTGGGGATAGAGTGGTAAGCAAAGCAGGCCTAGTCCCTACCGTCATAGAGCTTGTGTTCTAATGGGAGAGACGCCGAACAGGCAGCCTCACGAATAACTGTGCAATCACGGAAGATATCTACAAGCATCTCAACCTCAGCAGAGCCAAAACTGAGCCCCTGGTCTTCCCCCAGCCTGCTCCTCCCACTCCTTCCCTAGCTCAGAAAATGCCAACTCTATTTGTCCAGCTGCTCGGACAAAATCTTTGCCTTCACACACCGCAGCCAATCCATCAGCAAATCCTATCGGCTCTACTGTCAAAATCTATGCAGAATCCAGCCCCCTCACTCCACTCTGCCGCACCCTAGGCCAAGCCATAACCATCTCACCTGCATTACGGAAACACCTCTAACTGGCGTCTCTGGTTCCACGCTTACCCTCCATCCAGCAGCCAGGGCGAGTCTCTGAAATCTTACATCAGAGCATGTAAATTCATCCAAAGGTCCTGCATGATCTGACCTCGGCTCCCACCATTCCACCGTCACCCACACTGGCCCCTGGCTCTTCCTCAAAGGTGCCAGGCACACGCCCACATCAGGGCCTTTGCACTCGCTGCTCCACCTTTCTGGAAAGCTCTTTCCCCAAATATCCGTGCGGTCACTACCTCACTTCTTTCAGCTTCTGCCCAAATGTGTCAGTACCGGTAAGGCCTTCCCTGATGCCCTCAGTAAATCAGCAACCCCTCTCCAGCCCTCCGCATGCCTTTCGCTGGCTTCCTCTGTTCCTTAGTATTTCTCTCTACCCGCCATATTCTAAGTCCCTGGGAGCTGCAAACAGTTAAGCATTTGGCTACTAACTGCAAGGTTGGTGGTTCAAATCCACACAAAGGCACTTTGGAAGAAAGGTCTAGTGATCTGCTTCCAAAAGGTAACAGCCATTGAAAACCTTAGGAATCACAGTTCTACTCTGACACACATGGGATCACCACGAGTTGGGAGGGACTCAACAGCAACTGGTTGGTTGATTGATATATTCTGTATTTATTTACTTAGTGTCTATTATCTCCCGCCTCATCCCCAGCTATTAATGTAAGCTCCACAGGGCAGTGGCTTCATCACATTTGTGCACTGATGTATTCCCAGAACCTGGAATCATGCCTGGGACAAGCAAACGCTCAGTCAATATTTACTCCCAGAATGAATGAGGAAGGAAAAGGGCAGGGTACTATGGGAGCACCTCACAGGGAGCACCACTTAAGACTTGGGTATCAAGGAAGGCTTCCCTGAGGAGAGGACATTTAAGCAGAGCTGGAGCTAACAGGTGAAGAGAGAAGAAAGAGCAGTCCAAGGCAGCTGGAAGAACACAGGCAAAGGCCCTGTTTCCGGAAGATGATTTATTTGAGGAACTGAGAGAAGGCCGGTCCAGCTGTAGCTCTAGGGGTAAGGAGGCTAAAAGGGGAGCAGAAGCCAGATCGTATGAGGCCCAGAAGTTCATGTTAGGGATTTTGATTTTGTTCATTAGAAAAACGAGAAGCCACCAAAGGTCCCAGGCAGAGCTGTGATATGACTTGGTCACACTGCTGTGTGGTGAATGGATCACAGAGGGCAAGAGTTGGAAGCCAGGGACCAGCATGGAGGCACCTGCCTGGCCCAGCTGAGAGGGTGGTGGCTTGGACCAGGGTGGCATACACATAGGGAAATAGGATTCTTAACACTCCCATGGGGTCCTCTTACCCAGACGGGCTGGGAGACGCCCTCCACAATCTTCCTGCAGAAGAAGCCTGGGTCGGCCTGGCGCTTCTCCTCTCCCCAGCGGATCATGTCCTTCCGATAGGCCTCCTTGTAGGTGCTGGCGTCCAGGAGTCTTTGGAAGTCCAGGCCGTGCTCCTGCCCAAGGTACACTCTTTGTCACCAGCCTCTCAGCACCCCCTGTGTCTCCTAAGACGAGGGAGAACCACCCCTGGGCTCCCAAACCCCAGGAGCCAATGTGAGGACTGGTGACTTTTCAGCCAGGACAGCAGCCTACAAGGGAGAAAGCCCCTAGAAACAAAGAATCCCAATCATCATCAAAGGGAAGAAAGGTCTAGGATAATCCAGAAAGTGTTTCCATTTGTCTTTGAAATGTGTGATGGGGTTTTCTCTTCTGCCAACAGTTTCGCCTTCCCAATTCTCTCTGGCTTAAACTAAGTGTGAAATTAGTTTGCACACCCTGGGCACACGCTTAGCCTTCAGCGAAAGCAGGAAATGCGTTCCACATCCTCCTTCCACGACCCCTTCTGCCATCATTGCCCCCCATCCCAAAGCCCAGAAGAGTTCGCCTCTGTGTCTCTCTCCTCTCCCCATCAGCCCTTCCCCCACTCCCCAAAATTCCTGGCACCTTTGCCTGACAGCACTGTTTCTTTCACTGGCTTCTCCGGCACCTTGTGGGCCTCCCACATCCAGGGGACTGCTCTGACCACCCTGGGGAGCTGCTTCCAGTCCTGGCCTTCCTTCTCCAGGGACACTGACAAGCAGGGGGGGTCCATCCGGAGGGCTCCAGAGTGGGGAGGGGTCTGGAAACCATCACCCAGTTCAGATTCTAGGATCCCTAGCTCACTGCAGCAGACCCTCTGGCCTCAGGTACTCGGTTTCCTCATCTGCAAACTGAAGGGGGTGAACCAGCCCCTCAGACCTCCTACTGGCTCCCCTGTTGAGGTTGACAGCCACCTCCTGCTTGTAAACTGGTGTCGTGTGTACTCTTGACCACAGGGGAAGAGCAGGCCATTAGGGTCTGCGCGTCAGTTATAGTTCCCCTCTGCGAGTTGCCAATTCATTTGGATTTTTGTGTTTTAATGGGAGTTGGGGGACAGGGTGGGATTGAACTTCCGAACAGCGGGGACAGCTGGCCATGTCACAGTCTCCTGTGGAGGTGTTTAGAATACAAACTTCCAAGAGAATCGGGCTCTCTAGGTCTGGGACCCAAAAAAAAAAAAAAAAAACAAAACAAACCCATTACCGTCAAGTCAATTCCGACTCATACCGGCCCTATAGGACAGAGTACAACTGCCCCATAGAGTTTCCAAGGAGCACCTGGTGGATTTGAACTGCCAACCTTTCGGTTAACAGCCATAGCTCTTAACTAGTGTGCCATCAGGGTTCCAAGGTCCAGAGTGGGTCCCTAGGTCTGGAGTGGGGCCTAATTTGGGAACTTTGGAAGTAAACCAGTGGTTTCAAAGTGCTCCTCAGAGCCCTGGGGTTCCTCAGAGATGCCCAGGCCCCACCAGGAAGACTGAGTGGCCTCTCTCTCTCTCTCCTCACCTCTGCTTCCCCCCACTCAGAGTAGCTCCCAGTCAGCCTACTGGACACAAGGGGCTTAGGCAGCCAGTTTCATTTGGAAAAGGTTCTCCCTGAAAATATCTGAAAACCACCAAGCCTACTTATCTCCAGGATCCCCTCAGGCTCCCGCAGGCTGCCATCCTGGGAGTGGGTCTGTTTAGCTGGTGGGAGAAAACCCAGTAAGAGAAGAGAATGGTTCCCACAGGGCAGGGCTGTCACGTAAAGGGGGACAGACCCCAGAAGGCCAGCCTCAGGCCACCTGACAGAGGGCCTGGCGTCTGTGCTCACCATTGGTCTCTACAAGGGTGCACTAGACGCCAAGGACAGGAACACAGGTGACAAGAGGACTCTCCCCTCTGTGGGAAGCTGATCTTGCCCTCCAGGTTCCCTTTCTGAAGCCTAAGGTTCTAAGGCCCCATTGGAAGACTTCCTTTTTTTTTAATTTCAATCACTCACGTGGTTTAAAATTCAAAAGATACACATCCATTTACAACGAAAAATCTCTCTCATCTCTGCACCCTGCCTCTAGTTCCCCTCCCTGGAGGCAACCAACGTTCCAGGCTCTACTATCCTTCCAAGGTATTTCCGCACCCCAAGCACCTGAAGAGCATTTAACATCATGAGGACACCCCATAAATATTTGTTGAATGAATGACTGCATGAGCAAATATAATTCTTTTTCTCTTTTTTATGCAAATGTAGCATTCCGTACACACTGTTCTACATCTTTGTTTTGTTTTCATTTAACAATCTACCTTGACAACTTACGTGACTACATTTCTAAGGAGAGAATTCCAAGGGTTGTGTCAGGCCAGCCTGGGGGAGTGAGGGGTAGTCATGTAAAGTGTCTCATTTTTCAAGTGAGTGGATGTGTGCAGACTCTTACTAATCACACCACATCAGCAGCCACAGCCTTACCTGGACACACCTTCTCGAATACTCAGGGGAGGTGGCCTGAACTGAGGGAGGCCAGTGGGAAAGAAGCTTGAGCTGAAAATGCCCCAGAGAGGTCAACCCACAGAAAACCAAGAGCTGGCCACCCCCTGGCAGCAGTGGTCACCGGGGCGGTTCCCGGGGCTCAAGTGGCAGCCACAGCAACCAAAGCCCAGGAGGTGGGCCCCAACGGCCAGCAGATGCTCCCGAGCCGCCACCTACCTGAGCATACTGCTCCTTGAGCGGCCCAGAGAGCCGGAGGACAGCACAGACATCAGCTCCAAGTCTGTGGAACAGGGAGATCAGAACCCAGTTAACCTAGAGCTTCTGGGCTCCAGAACAGGAGTCCAGAAGCCCAAGTTGAAGTCCCATTTCTGCTACCAGTATCTACACGACTTCGTCAGGTCTTGTCATGGATTGAATTATGTCCCCCCAAAAATGCTGTATCAGTTTGGCTGGGCCATGCTTCCAGTATTGTGTGGCTGTCCTCCATTTTGTGATTGTAATTTTATGTTAAAGAGGATTAGGGTGGGATTGTAACACCCTTATTAAGGTCACATCCCTGATCCGATGTAAAGGGAGTTTCCCTAGGGTGTGGCCTGCACCATCTTTTATCTTACAAGAGATAAAAGGAAAGCGAAGCAAGCAGAGAATGCAGGACCTCATACCACCAAGAAAGCAGTGCTGGAAGCAGAGCGTGTCCTTTGGACCTGAGGTCCCTGTGCAGAGAAGCTCCCAGACCAAGGAAAGACTGATGCATCACAAGGACCTTTCTCCAGAGCCGACAGAGTGAGAAAGCCTTCCCCTGGGGTTGGTGCCCTGAATTTGGACTAGTAGCCTACTGGACTATGAGAGAATAAACTTCTCTTTGTTAAAGCCACCCACTTGTGGTATTTCTGTTAGAGCAGCACTCGATGCCTAAGACAGGTCTCAACTTCCCTGATCCAATTTCCTCATCTATAAAATGGGATAATAGTTTCTGTTCTATCTCCCTCAAAGGATTATTATGAAACTCAAATGAATGAGAAAGAGCACTAAACTATTAACAGGTAAAATAGGTAATACCCAAAACCACCCAAACCCATTGCAGTCAAGTCCATTCCGACTCATAGCAACCCTACAGGACAGAGTAGAACCGCCCCGCGGGGTTTCCAAGGAGCAGCTGGTGGAATTGAACTGCAGACCTTTTGACAGAAATAGCTCTTAACCACTGCACCACCAGGCTCCAAAATAGGTAATAGGTGATAAAATTATAATTACAGTGTGAACATTCATGCCTGGCAATATTCTGGCTGGACTTGGTTACTGCTGGGCCCCTAAGCTAGTTCTCTCACAGCCAGAGAGATTTCAGTCTCACCTGGCTTAGTCACTATAATATAAAGAATTCACTCACTCAGCTAATCAATTTACTGAACCAAACATTTCTTGGGGACTATATTTGGAACCAACCAGCCACCTGTCAGTCTGTCATACTGCGATGGCTTGTATGTTACAGTGATGCTGGAAGCTATGTCACCATTATTTCAAATGCCAGCAGGCTTTACCAGAGCTTCCAGACTAAAACAGACTAGAAAGAAAAGCCTGGTGACCCACTTTCAAAAATCAGCCAATGAAAATCTTATGGATCATAACAGAATATTGTCTGATACAGTGTTGGAAGATGAGCCCCTTGGGTTGGAAGGCACTCGAAATATGACTGTGGAGACACTGCCTCCCGGGAGCAGAGTCAACCTTAACGATGTGGATGTACCAACGCCTCCGGGACCTTCAGTTGCTGATGTGGCACTAGTCAAAATGAGAAGTAACAGCTGCAAACATCTATTAGTAATCAAAACGTGGAACATACGAAGTACGAATCAAGGAAAATCGGAAGTCATCAAAAATGAAACGAATGCTTGAAGATCGATATCCTAGCCATTTGTGAGCTGAAACAGACTGGTATTCACCATTTTGAATCAGATAATCATACAGCCTACTCTGTCAGGAATAACCAAATGCAGAGGAATGGCATGCTTTATCATTAAAAAGAACATTTGAGATCTGTCCCGAAGTAAAATGCGGTCAATGGCAGGTTCATATCCATACGCCTACATGAAAGACCAGTTAATATAACTATTACTCAAATTTACACACCAACCACAAATGCCAAAGATGAAGAAACTGAAGATTTTTACAACCTGCTGCAGTCTGAAATTGATCAAACATGAAGTCAAGATACACTGATAATTACCGGTGATTGGGATGCAAACGTTGGAAACAAAGAAGAAGGATCAGTAGTTAGAAAATAGGCCCTGGTGACAGAAATGACACCAGAGATCGCATGACAGAATTCTGCAAGACCAACAACTTATTCATCAGAAATACTTTTTCTTCAACAACACAAACACTATACACATGGACCTCACCGATGGTTTACAAAGGAATCAAATTGACTACCTCTGTGGAAAGAGACAATGGAGATGCTTAATGCCATCAGTCAATCCAAGCCAGGGGCCAACCGTGGAACAGACCATCAATTGCTCATACGCAAGTTCAAGCTGAAGCTGAAGAAAATTAAAGCAAGTCCACAGGAGCCAAAGTACGACCTTCAGTATATCTCACCTGAATTAAGAGACCATCTCAACAACAGATTTGAAGCACTGAACACTAATGATCAAAGACCAGAAGAGTTGTAGGGTGACATCAAGGGCATCATATATGAAGCATGAAGAAAGCAAAAGGTCATTAAAAAGACAGGAAAGAAAGAAAAGACCAAAATGGACGTCAGAAAAGACTCTGAACGTACAGTAGCTAAAGCAAACAAAAGAAATGATGAAGTAAAAGAGTTGAACAGATGATTTCAAAGGGTGCCTCGAGAAGACAAAGTATTATGAAGAAATGTGCAAAGACCTGGAGTGAGAAAATCAAAAGGGAAGAATATGCTCAGCATTTCTCAAGCTGAATGAACGGAAGAAAAGCTTCAAGCCTCAGGTTGCAATATTGAAGGATTCTATGGGCAAAAGGAGCCCTGGTGGCTCAATGGTTAAGAGCTCAGGCTGCTAACCAAGAGGTCAGCCATTGAAATCCACCAGCCATTCCTTGGAAAACCTATGGGGTAACTCTACTCTGTCCTATAAGGTTGCTGTGAGTCAGAATCCACTCCACAGCAACGAGCTTGGTTTGGTTTTGGTTATGAGCAAAAAAATGAACAATGCAGGAAGCATCAAAAGAAGATGGAAGGAATACACAGAGTCACTGTACCAAAAAGAATTGGTTGATGTTCAACCATTTCAGGAGGCAGAATATGATCAAGAACCAACGGTACTGAAGGAAGAAGTTCAAGCTACACTGAAGGCATTGGCAAAAAACAAGCCTCTAGGAATCGACAGAATACCAGCTGAGATGCTCCAATAAATGGATGCAACCCTACAGCACTCACTTGTGAATCTGGAAGACAGCGACCTGGCCAAAGGACTGAAAGAATCATATTTGTGCCCATTCCAAAGAAAGGCAAAGAGAATGCAAAAATTATCTAACAATATTATTAATATCACATGCTAGCAAAACTTTGCTGAAGATAATTCAAAAACAACTGCACTGCAGATTGACGGGGAACTGCCAGAAGTTCAAATCTGATTCCGAAGAGGACATGGAACGAGGGATATCATTGCTCATGTCAGATGGATCTCGGTCAAAAACAGAGAATACCAGAAAGATATCTGCCTGTGTTTCATTGACTGCACTAAGGTGTTTGACTGTGTGGATCATAACAAATTATGGATAACATTGCAAAGAATGGGAATTCCAGAAGACTTAATTATGCTTGCGCAGAACCTATACATGGATCAAGAGGCAGTCATCCGAACAAAACAAAGGGATACTACGTGGTTCCCAAATTGGAAAACATGTGCAGAAGGGTTGTATTCTTACACCTCATTCAATCTGCATGCTGGACAAATAATCTGAGAGGCTGGACTATATGAAGAAGAACACGTCATTAGGACTGGAGGAAGAAAGCCTGCAATATGCAGATGACACAACCTTGCTTGCTGAAAAGACAACTTGAAGCACCTGCGGATGAAGGTCAAAGACTACAAGATGAATTATGGCCCAATAACGAAGAAAACAAAAAGCATCACAACTGGACCAATATACAACATCATGGTAAATGGAGAAAAAACAAGTTGTCAAACGAACAAATCAGTCTTAAAAGAAATACAACCAGAATGCTCCTTAGAAGTGACTTATAATGGACTAAACATACCAACGATCATGAACTTGGCAAAGGACCAGGCAACATTTCATTCTGTGATATGTGAGATCACTGCGAGTTGGAGCCAACTTAACAGCAACTAACAATGTATTTAGATCAAGGTGATACAAATGTGAATAAGATGCATGATTTCTATGGTGGCCTTGAGATGCTCACGAATACATTTAAATACTGACATGGTGAGACAAGTGCTTTTATTCCCATTTTTCAGATGAGGAAACTAAGGTTGAGTGAGAAGGACTGACGAACCCAAAGCAACACGGTAAATAGTGAAGCCAGTATTGGTAAGATAAATAATGGCCAACATTTAGTTCCTCCACCTTTACTAGATGCTAAGAACTGTTCTAAATCCTTCACATGCATCATCTCATTTAATCCTTACAAAACCAAACCCACTGCCATCGAGCTAATTCTGACTCATAGCGACCCTATAGGACACAGTAGAAGCACAGAAGCAGACTGCCACATCTTTCTCCCAATGAGCGGCTGGTGGGTTCAAACCACCAGTTCAGTTAGCAGCCGAGCACTTAACCACTGTGCCACCAGGGCTCCTTTTAATCCTTACAACCACCCTCTGGTTATTCTCATTTTACAAATGACAAATCCGAGGCACGGGGTAGCTAAGTAATTTGTACAAGATTACATACTCAATGGTGGAGGCAGTATTTGAACCCTAGCAATCTAATTCCAGAATCTGTGCTTCTAACCACTATTTGATTCTGTGTTTGGGGGTAAGGAGAGATGCAATTTAGGAAGAAAGTGGGGAGATCCTTGTTGTTAAGTGTCGAGTCGGTTCTGTCTCACAGCAACCCTATGTACAACAGAATGAAACACTGCCTGGTCCTGCGCCATCCTCACAATCGTTGCTATGCCTTAGCCCATTGTTGCGGCCACTGCGTCAATCCATCTTGTTGAGGGTCTTCCTCTTCTTCACTGACCCTCTACTCTACCAAGCATGATGTCCTTCTCCAGGGACTGGTCCCATCTGATAACATGTCCAAAATATGTGAGACAAAGTCTCGCCATCCCGCCTCTAATGAGCATTCTGGCTGTACCTCTTCCAACACAGATGTGTTTGTTCTTCTGGCAGTCCATGGTATATTCAATATTCTTCGCCAACACCATAATTCAAAGGCATCAATTCTTCGGTCTTCCTTATTCATTGTCCAGCTTTCACACGCATATGAGGTGATCGAAAACAGCGTGGCTTGGGTCAGGTGCACCTTAGTCCTGAAACTGACATCTTTGCTTTTTAACACTTTAAAGAGATCTTTTGCAGCAGATTTGCCCAATGCAATGCATCGTTTGATTTCTTGACTGCTGCTTCCATGGGCGTTGATTGCGGATTCAAGTAAAATGAAATCTTTGACAACTTCAATCTTTTCTCCGTTTATCATAATGTTGCTTATTGGTCCAGTTGTGAGGATTTTTGTTTTCTTTATGTTGAGGTGTAATCCATACTGAAGGCTGTGGTCTTTGATCTTCATCAGTAAGGCTTCAAGTCCTCTTCACTTTCAGCAAGCAAGGTTGTGTCATCTGCATATCACAGGTTGTTAATGAGTCTTCCTTCAATCCTGATGCCCCACTCTTCTTCATATAGTCCAGCTTCTCAGACTATTTGCTCAGCATACAGACTGAATAAGTATGGTGAAAGGATACAACCCTGACGCACACCCTTCCTGACTTTAAACCACACAGTATCCCCTTGTTCTGTCTGAACGACTTCCTCTTGGACTATGTACAGGTTTCTCATGAGTACAATTAAGTGTTCTGGAATTCTCATCCTTTGCAATGTTATCCATAATTTGTTATGATCCACACAGTCGAATGTCTTTGCATAGTCAATAAAACAGGTAAACATCTTTCTAGTATTCTCTGCTTTCAGCCAGGATCCATCTGACATCAGCAATGATACCCCTCGTTCCATGGCCTCTTCTGAATCCAGCTTGAATTTCTGGCAGTTCCCTGTCAGTGTACTCCTGCAACTGCTTTTGAATGATCTTCAGCAAAATTTTACTTGCGTGTGATATTAATGATATTATTCTATAATTTCCGCATTCCGTTGGATCACCTTTCTTTGGAATGGGTTCAAATATGGATCTCTTCCAGCCGGTAGGCCAGGTAGCTGTCTTCCAAATTTCTTGGCATAGATGAGTAAGCACTTCCAGCACTGCATCCGTTTGTTGAAACATCTCAATTGGTATTCCGTCAATTCCTGAAGACTTGTTTTTCGCCAATGTTTTCAGTGCAGCTTGGAGTTCTTCCTTCAGTACCATTTGTTCTTGATCATGTGCTACCTCCTGAAATGGCTGAATGTTGACCAATTCTTTTTGGTACAGTGACTCTGTGTATTCCTTCCATTTTCTTTTGACACTTTCTGTGTCATTTAGTATTTTCCCGGCAGAATCCTTCAATATTGCAACCCAAGGCTTGAAGTTTTTCTTCAGTTCTTTCAGCTTGAGAAACGCTGAGCATGTTCTTCCCTTTTGGTTTTCTATCTCCAGGTCTTTGCACATTTCATTATAATACTTTGCCTTTTTGAGCCACCAGTGAGATCCTTAGTGGTGAAATATTTGGGTGGCAACCTCTGCCCCGGGCTCCCCCACAAACTCTTAGAACCCCTGTGGTGCCCAGAATTAGCCTCCTGGTATCCCCACCACACTGGTCTTCAAGAGGAGAGAAGTCCCACTCCACTCTGCCCAGCTCCTCTGCTTTCTCAGCCTGATTTTCCCCAGCACAAAATGCTTCCACACAGAACATCCTGCTTTGGGAGAAAACACTGAGCAAAAGGTGTCATTATTATTTGGAGAGGCAGTGTGGTAAAGTATAAAGAACCTAGTCCCTGGAGCCAGACAAAGCTGAATTTGAATCTTGGGTCTGACACTTAACTTTGTGACCCTGGCAAGTTTGCTTTTCTTCCTCTCTTTTCTTCTCTTCTTTAGTTTTCTGCTTCTTCTCTTTCACCTCCTCCTCCTCTCCCTCCCTCCCTCTCTCTTTCTGTCTTTTAACTCTTCAGAGTCTCAGTTTCTTCCTCTGTGAAATGCAGGTACTAACTAATACCCCCACAGTACCTACTAAAAAGGTTACGAGGATTAAATGGGATAATACACACAGTGCCTGGCACATAATAGAGGCTCAATAAATCCCGGTGGCTTACTAAACAGCCCCGTGGTGGCTGGGCAATGATTCCGTCTTTGGAGTCAGACACACTTGGGGTGTGGTCTTAAGCAAAGTTCTTGTCTGTGCCTCAGTTTCCTCAACTGTAACAATTACCTCGCACCACTGCGGTGAGGCTTAGGAATAGTGTGCGGAAAGCGTGTTGGTAATAACTGTTATTAATTCCTCTTGGAGAGAGAGACCTCCAGCTTAAGGTCTTCGGAGAGGCGGCCGCCTGGTTCTTCCAGGTAGGCGTGTGTGACGGCTGTTTTATGCGTTGATGGCAGTCCTCCACCTCCCCCTGCCCACTGCTCCTCTTGCCCTGCAACCTGAGGACGCCTGCTCCAAAGCGCGCTCCATCAAGCCCTCACTCACTCCTCGTGGCACGTGGCACGGGGATCGCCCCCCCTCCCCCGCCCCACGGACACCTGCTATGCAGCGCCTCCGTCACGAAGTCCTTCCCGGATTTCCTCTTCCCACTGAACAGCAGCACCAGCCGCGGGGAGCAGGTCTGCGGGGCCATGAGGCCGCGACGCCTTCCGATCCCTAGAGCAGACCGTTCTCCCTGCCCCTTCCATCGCGCGACCGGGCGCAAAATAGACGCCGCCACTAGGGGGAGGGACAACAAGGAGGGATTCCGCCCCTTCTTCTCCGTAGTCGTCGAGAGGACCGACGGCAGGTATACGTGTTTCTATACATTTTATTTAATGTTTACACGAATTAAATATGAAGTGAAAAAAGGTTTATTCCCAGTGCAGTCTTCTGTCCTAAACGAGCTCCCCTACCAGAGCTCGTTTAGAACAGTCCAACCCCGCCCAGAACCTTACGTCACGGCCAAGCCTCCTTAACTGACACGTGGGAGCGGCGAGTTGGACGCAACTACTTTCCTCCAAGGGGGATAATATCTTAAAGTTTCCTAAGGTGAGTCTCTAGTTCCCTTCCACAGAGCCCAGAAAAAATATTTTTTTAAAAATGCAACTGTTATGATATTTAATAAGTTTTCAAAACTGCGTTTTTATTTGTGTATTGTAGTACATGTACTAAAGCAAATCTACATTTCCCCCACAAGTGAAAATGGATCTTTCCAGAAGTGAATCGACTCAGTGATAGGAGAGGGTTGAGACTGGTGACGTCATATTAGGAAAGGCGCTTAGTCGAGCCCGCAGAATTGTATTGTTAAACAGGCTTTATAGCTGGAGAACCCGCTGAGATTCGACCCTTCAAGCCCTTTCGTTTCTCTTCTAACCGCAGCCTCCTCTCCAGAGGTTTTCGGAAGCGAGAGGGTTTGGGATGACGTGGATGAGATCACTAGAAAGGGCAAAAAAGCGGCTTCGAAGCCACCACTGGAAGAAAATACCTAGTTTGATGCGGAGTCCAGCTCCAGCCAGAAGCTCGGGGGCCAGAATTAAAGGGTGATGATCTGTCCCTCCCCTGAATTCCCAGTTCTGTCTCTGCCCACAACAGCTGACACCCAGTTGAGTAAACGGAGTTGTCTTTAGCTACATGACCTGCTGTGCTGCGTTTTTCTGAGCCTGCCAAAACAGAGCCGGCAACCCATTATTTCCTCAATTTCATGGGCTCTAAAGTAATGCAAGAAAAGGCGAGGTATGGAGTCGTCCTTTGGGAGAAACCATGAATTTCCTCAATATTAAAAAGATGACCCAGAAGATACTAGAACAGTAGAGTAGTCAAGTGCAAATAAAAAAGATTGGGGGGGGCTTTTTTTTTTTTTTTAAAGCAAATCAGAACGCATTGCACTAGTCAATGCACTTAAGAGGCAGCATAGGGTGGAAAACGTTTTAATCCCAGTTTTGACACTTCTCAGGAATGTGATCTTTGGCAAGTCACTGAGTTACCATTGATAACGCCCACCTCACAGGGCTGCAATAAGAAGGAAATGAGGAAAGTGTACAATAAAGTACTTTGTAAATTCTAAAGTATAATCCAAAGGTAAGAGATTATTTATTCTCCGCACTTTGCAATTTTAGAGTTTGTAAGTCAACACAAGGAGTTCCTGGGTGGTGCAAACTAGAGTCCTTCAGCTGCTAATCAAAAGGTTGGAGGTTCGAGTCCACCCAGGGGCACCTTGGAAGAAAGGCCTGGTGATCTACTTGTGAAAAATCAGTCATCGAAAATCCTATAAAGCACAATTCTACTGTAACACAGGAAAGCCTGGTGGCATAATGGTTAAGAACTAGGCTGCTAACCAAAAGGTCAGCAGTTTGAATCCACCAGCCACTCCTTGGAAACTCTATGGGGCAGTTCTACTCTGTCCTACAGGGTCGCTATGAGTCAGAATCAACTCGACGGCAGTGGGTTTGGTTTGATTTGGACTCTAATACACATGGGATCCCCATGAGTCAGAATCAACTCAGTGGCAACTGGTAATTCAACACAGGATCAGATTTTCCAGCCAGCATTCAATAAACTTTTATTTGGGACTCCACAGCAAGTCCAAATCCCACCTCTGCCCGCAAGACTGAAAGCATTAACTCCACTATCACGTTCCTGCTTGCACAAGTCACCACTAGGAAGAAGTCTAAACTTCCCAGGCCACTTGTTATCCCCCAGAGTCTCATCCCTCACCTGACCTAGTCCACACACACCACTTCGCTCCCTCCTACACCCTGGAATCAAGTTACCTGGAATTCCTAATCAGTGATCAGAAGACTTCCCCCATATCCTGCCTATTCCCTGCCTCACCTGAAGCTCACTCTCCCCTACTACCTTCTCAAGTAGCTGCTCTTTGTTCTCCACCAGCCCTCACACCTCAGTATAGACCTCCCTCCCTTCCCATTTAAGCTTCCAGACCATGACTCCCCCTGCCTCTTGGAAGACTCTGTCTCGTCTGAGGCTCACACCACCTGGCTGAGTTACCCTTTCCCCCTCCTTGGTGCTGACAACCACCAAGCCTGATGGCTTGTTCTCATTTACTGAAAATTTAGCCACTGACTCCTAGTCTTCTTTTCTATCCAGTTCCTGCCGTTGCTCTCCGTAACTTCACTATCCATAGAACCAGCCATCCAACTCCCTTCCCACTCAATTCCTTGGCCTCGGATGTCCTCTTCTCTTCCTCAGACACCTGTTCTTATCAATGCACCTGGACCTTGTTGTCCCCAGAAGCCATTTAACCTGCAGATTCACATACTCATCCATCCTACCCTTCATGGTCACTTGTTCAGAGCAGTACTTCCATGCAATGCAACCACTAGCCTATAAAACTGTGTAGATTATAGAATACCTTCTCTGCCTTCCTTCCACAACTGAGGGGCTCATCGAACAAGTTAACATGTGCAGAAAGCCCTTTGTAAGCAGTAGAGAGTTACTCAAAATCAGGGAAGCACTATTTTTAAGGCAGAATGGCCTGTCTGAAGGCTGGGATGCTGGTGAGGATGAGGCAGGGAAAGGGGAGGAACAGAATTGTCTGACATGAGCAGAGACAAGCAGGGAATGCAAGGGAGTGGGCAGAGTCCTTGGGGACTCAGATTGGAGGCCAGAGACATCTGACACCGCCACCCCGTGGGGGGCTTAGGAAGATGATGCTAGAGACAGCCAGCGCTTCAGAGAGGTGTCACCAGAACTCAGGGCACAATGACCCCTGAGAGTCATCCCTCACTAAAGGGCAGACCATTTAAAGAAAGGTTTGCTCCACTGACTGAGAGAAAGGAGCTGGACTTGGAGACCAAATGCAGGCCTGGTTGAAGGAACCCTGCCCACTCTATTAAACATCCAGAGACAGTTTGACCTTGCAGGTGACTGGCTCACCTAGCTCTGCAGAGCCTAGATGAGGGGCGAGCTGGGCTTTGTCAGTGTCCCTCCATCCCTGCCCTGAGGAAGGAAGCCCTGAACAGGGGTACCAAGATCCCATCCCTCCCCGAAAGCTAGCCTAACCCATGGTAGAACCGTATGCCATCCCAGCTCAGGGAGATCACCAGTTGCCCTTGCTTCGACTCCATGCTTCTGAGTCCAGTTTCTCTTCCCAAGGCTGTTGACCGCTGACCCAGGCATTCCCCTCTGCTGATGTCAACCATAGATGTGCTTGTGAGTCAATCCTCGGTGTTCGATGACCATTGCTTCAGGGGTAACAGAGCCTGGCAGACGTGGGATGGAAGGGGGTGAGTGTTGTAAGGAAGGAAAGAGGGGGAGTCTGAATCCTTGGGGAGCTGATGAGAGAGCAGTTTATTCATTCATTCATTCAACACGTATTTAAATGTCTAAAACTTGCTGGGTACCACTAGAGACATAACGATGAACAGAACAGAATCTGTTCTCAAAGAGTTTTCATTCCTGTGGGGAGACAGGTAATGACAAAACCACAGAAAACTGGGGTATGAGAGACTTTGCCCCAGAATTGGAAAAGGAGAGTTGATATGAATTAATACTTGCAGGATGTCTGATATAAGCCATAAAGGGCGCTAACTAACTACTCATCCTTTTGTGGTTCCTTTTGTCCAGCACCCTTCCCACCTTTTTGTATAACTAATTCGTACTTGTTCTTCAACACGTAGCTGTGTTACCTCCTCGGGGGAACGGTCTCTGACCTCCCAGTCTGACTTGTTCATTGCCGTTGAGTCAATTCCAATTCATGGCGACCCAATGTGTGCAGAGTAGAACTATGCTCCAGGGGGTTTTCAATGGCTGTGACCTTTCAGAAGCAGATTCCCAAGCATGTCTTCTAAGGTACCTCTAAAAAAAACCAAAGCCGTTGCCATCGAGTCAATTCTGACTCATAGAGACTCATAGGACAGAGTAGTACTGCCCCATAGGGTTTACAAGGAACAGTTGGTGGATTCAAACTGCTGACCTTTTGGTTAGCAGCCATAGTTCTTTTTTTTTTTTTTTTATAATTGTTGTAGTTTAAATGAAGTTTAC